GGGGGGGGGGGGGGGATTACCCCTTAGGCACTGAGTCGTATGTGAAATTTGTGTAATGTGTTAGCTACGTACACGAGGTGACGAGTACGTACTCGAGCTTATTTGTGGAAATTTGACCGTTTAGGGCTCTTAGGTTCTTATGTGCATCAAATATGAAGTTGTTTTGTCATGTTAAATTTTTCATTTACTATATTCACCCTTATGAGTCTTATTTGGTATTAATTACTTCATGTTGTACCCTTATTGCCGATTAAACTCTTATGTGCATTAATTGAAGTTGTTAGCATGTTTTATTGTCATGTTATCCTTTCTGTAATTGTTTATCCTTCATTGAAGTTATTATTATCTCTTTCGTAATTGCCTTCATTTGTTGAAGTTATTATTATCTTTTCTAGAATTTGCATATCCTTAATTGGATTTGTTGTATCTCTTCCGTAATTGCTCAACCCTAAATGAAGTTTTGTTATCCCTTATCATTGTTGACTTATCTTTATTTGGAATCATTGATTCATGTTATCCCTCTTATTGTTGAATTGTACTTTTGTGGAATGATTGTTACCCATTATCTCGTCCTTGTTGAGCTGTTCTTGTTGAGACCGTTATTCGTTGTTGTGTCTTTCTTTGTGAGCTTGTTCTTTTGTTTCTTTGTGTTTTGAAGTTCCTGAGTTGATTTACTTGCTGTATTCTCCTATTATTGTCGTTCTTTCTATTGTATTCAGTATTGTTGAGCTGGGGGCTATGCGTAGTTGTAATATTGAAACTGTTTTGAGGAAATATTGTGGCATGTGGGCACTTATTATGAAAGTCATTTATTTGAGTTGTTATATTCTGGCATATGTGTTATTGTTGAGAAAATTGCTATATTATTTGCACGAGATTTCTGCCGTGTCATTGTTATTGTGTTTGCACGAGGTTTCTACCGTGCTGTTGTTGTTGTGTTGCACGAGGTTTTTGCCATGCTGTTGTTATTTATTATTGATACACATGCAATGGTATAAGGTCTGAGTGTTGAAACGCATGCGGTGAGATAAGGTGGGCTTGAAACGCGTGACTTGTAGGGGAACTACTAGAAGCCATACGTTGTGATAAGGTGGGCTAAAATGCGGGATGCTATTTCAGGAAAAATGATTTTCAAAAACTTAATATGAAGGCTCCCGCGGTGATATAATGAAAATTTGTGATTCATTTTATGATTTGATACTACGAGGCGGTGCTTCGGTAGGGCTATTGTTGTCATTTCCCTAGTCTTTTGTACTTGTCTTTGATTGTTGTCTCCTTAGCATACTATTAGTAGTCTTCCTCCGTGTTGCACTAATTGGTCAGTTCTGTGTAGCTAATCTTGTTGTGCTAGTCGCTGCTTCAAACTTCATTGCTGCCTTTATTACACTGTACTTTTCGTGGTGATCGTTTCTTATGTTCCATTCATTGTCTCTACTCTTATTTGTTGACTTGAATTGTGGTAGAACACCTGCATAAGCATACACGTAGTTAAATCACCCATATCGATTTTAAAAGATGAATCATGACGTCATTGACCATTATACGTACTCTTGTCTACTTGCCTTCTGTGTTAGGAATGTTCTATTGGCACGTGAGTCGTCCGCGCAGTTATGAGTTGTAATGTGGGCACAAAAAGCCAAGTGATTTGGGTTCACGAATTGGGACCCGTGATTTGTGATTTTAAGGTTCGGTACCTCGTGGAAAATCCTTGGATAAAACTGGTGTGAAAGCAGTTGTTTTTGCTAGTTGTCACTTGTTTTCCTTTATTTGGTTTCACCGGATTTGAAGCGTGTTCATCTAACTCTACAGTCTTATTACCTGTTGTGTCTCGTTGCTAACTGTTGCATTTAGTCCCTATTATAAACATTGTATTATTATTGTCATCATGCCTAGCCTTATACTGATATTGTTCCCCGCTAGTTCTACATTTATACTTGTTCAGAGTGTTTAGTCCAGTGGGTGTCATGACTGTTTCTCGTCACTATTCCACTAAGGTTAGTCTTGATACTTACTGGGTACTGCTGTGGTGTACTCATACTATGCTTCTGCACATTTTTTGCAGATCCAGGTGCCTCGGTTATTATTGATTATTAGCTAGCTGGTCGAGAATTGCTGTTGTGACTCAAGGTAAACCTGTTGTCGCATTCGCAGGCCTCGGAGTCACCTTGTGATATTGTACTGTTTAATTCTATTCTGAACTGTTGTATTTAAGGGATTTTCTAGCAAACCCAGTAGAGCTTATGACTTGTACTACCGGTTTTGGGATTGTAAGTTGTGTATAAAGATTTCTATTTCATATTTATCAGTTGATGGTTAAATTCTTTTGTTAATTCAGTAAGCGTTAGGCTTACCTAGTCTTAGATACTAGGTGCCGTCACGACATCCTATGGAGGGAAATTGGGGTCGTGACAAGTTGGTATCAGAGCCCTAG